AGAGAGAGAGAGAGAGAGAGAGAGAGAGAGAGAGAGAGAGAGAGAGAGAGAGAGAGAGAGAGAGAGAGATACTGGCAGCGCCTCAATCACATATGTTATGAAATATGCTTTTATTATTTTTGAACTTATTCACTCTCCCTTCACAGATATGTGTGTTTGCAAAGAAACATAATGTCTACACTTGACTAATGGATGTATCTTTGCCGCAGTAAAAACTGAAGTAACATAACCTTTTGAAAAGAAATCACTTAGCCCTGAGGGACATAGGTTCGAGTCCTTTACTTAAATAAACCCAACTGCACCTTTGCATGCTGAGCTGAGAAACTGATAATGCAAGTGTCTTAACAAAATGCTGAATCATCAGCAGTCAGCGAGTCACAGAGTAAACAGCACCCACAGCAAATTTTCTGAACCATTAATTTCTTCTCTTACACACCCCCTCTGGTTCCAAGACTTGCTCCTCCTGACATGAGCAACACAGAATGTACAAGGAGAAATACGTGGCTCCAGAGAATCTGTAACCATTGGGAACACAATCAAAGTGTATCTCGGAGGGGGGCTGGGGGTGTTGCGATGGGGAAATGTTCTGTAACCACAAGATTATATAACAACTACGTATATATTACATGTTTATATAAGGGTATGCTGAAGAACGCAAACACTGCAATGGAATTTTGGGTATGTATGAATGTGTGTGTGCGTATGTGTGTTACAAAATGGCTGGCATTCCCTCCAGGGCATCAGTGCTGTACAGAGAAGAAGACTGCAGGAAAGATTAGTGTATCCACAAACTGATGGTACACAGTAGATATGGTATGTGACTGCGTCTTGGTGTTGGCTGTGAAAAAGCTGAAGAGTTGGTGATACAATGTTTTCACCCCACAGTGGTGGAAACAGCCTGCATGGAATATCTTTTTCTTTTAAGTGCTCAGTGGTTGTTTCCAAAGAAAAACTAAACTGTCTCTGGAACACATGGTTGAATGTCAGCCCTCAAGTTCAAAAAACACAGTCGAGTTTCTTGTCTGTAAAGTCATCCAATAACCTTTTCCTCAGCTTCTCCATTAGTTATTACTACGGACTGTGATGGGACGGTAAAAAGAAGGTAGGGTGGTAATAAGTCAATGGAAGTAAGTGTTTGCATGGCATACCCATATACTTTAATAAGACGGACGACATGACTGCGCCACAAAAGTGAAGCCACCGTCTTGTGAATGGGATGTGGAATTAAAGAAACATTGAAAGTTTTTATTTTTTTTACACAACCTAATACCTGCATGACATTTATTTCTATCCATTAATCATGAACTCAGACAGCATCCCGTGTTTTCTGGGACGCACTCACACAGAAAACATGAGATGCTGTGAGTCTCTAAATAGTGTGACCTACATACAGGTTCTGTTTTGTCCCTTAACCTGACGAAGACAGACACACTACTGAACTAAGGAGCCACAGTTTTCATGTGTGTGTGTGTTACTCCTGTCTGGCTTCCTGCAAAAGCAAACCCTTCTTGGTTGTCTTCCCTGTGAATCACTGACTTCCAAGCACTAAAAAAATAAAATAAAACTGAATATATCAATAAAAAGGCTGTTAGTCTGTGTCGCAACCTCCTGTCCTCTCAATGCCACCTACGTAAGCAGATTACAGATGACGCAGATATTTACTACAGCATGACGTTGAATCCACCTCGTCCATCTCTCTCCCTCACACACACAACAATCTGTCTGGTTATCCAACACAGATGGGGATTCCAGGAAATAGCCATTAAATGTTGGGATACAGCTATCACTACACCACAGCACAGAAATGATTGATGTTTTTTATCATTTCATTCAAAAATCAACCCGGGACTCTCATCTGGACGTTTCTAGGAAGGAAAATTGATCAATTTTACACTCTTTCTTCTCAGAACCAAAAATATATCCACTCTCTGTCAACATGTTTTGAAACGTTAAATGTGAATTGTGTAACTTTTAGCTCAAGGAGAGGACAACGTTCTCCTTCTCTGGTAGACAAGTGTGGGTTACATAGAAGGTTTGAAACCACAGTTTCTGATTAAGTGATCAAACCTCCTCTTATGGCAATAGCATCAGCAGTTTTCTCAGAAGAAAAAAACTGTTCGGTAGCGAGACTTTAGTCTGAAATGTAAAAGTCAGATTTTGAGAACAAAAGTAAAAAAATAGGTTTAAATTCTGTTAAAAGTTAAAAAACAAAACAAAAATTAGATTTTTGTCAAATCTTTTTAAACCTTTTTTTCCCCAATGGGGGATTTTTGGAGCAATGTAACTGGCTGTTTAACTACAAACCAAATGATAGATGTGTGGAAATTAGTTCTTAATGATTTGACTTCTTTTAATAAATCTCTTTTTCTGAAATTGGAAGCCTCTGCTTTGGGAATACCAAAATGGGAATTACCCTTGTAACATCTGCCTGTCTTCTTGCTCATCTCATATCTTTTGTCCAATTATGTCTTATCTCCCCTTTGTACAGATATGTATGAGTATGCTAAAATTGGATTTCCTTATTTTTCAGACCACAGAATTAAGACAAACCCCTTAATAAATCAAAATTCCAATCAGGACGTTGTTTGCAACTCAGCAGTCCTAAAGGCCACACCCAACACTTCTATTAAAATGTGGCTTCAACTAATTCCTGAAAAAACACCCTACATAGGTCTAAAGTCTGGGATTCCCCTTCATCCAGAGATAAACAAATCTGTTGTGTAATGACTGCTTTATTACCTTTATTAAATTTAATTTAACTTTGGCTTGTGGCCAAACAGTTAATATGATTACCTTCAAATTGAGTTTTAAGTTCCTGACAAATCAAAGAGACTGACAGACGAACACGCTAATGAGGCAAAACATTACCGCACACTTAGCTGAGCTTAAAGACCTGTAGGTTACATTTACCAGCAAATTAATATGGGACAGAGACGTCAGATAAATGATTTGATGTG